AATAAATCAGAGCACTATCAATAACCGAATTATAGTGTGGACAGGGCGTATTTTGCCATTCTTCTGTCTTATCATCGTCGTCGATGCTTAACCAATCACCGGAACTGGAAACGTCTGAACTGACGCCTGAAGTTTCCACTGGTAGGTATTTCCTCGGTGGAAGTTATCAGTTAATATGGATTCTGCAAAAATTGTCAAATGACTGTCAGAAGTCTGGGGGAAATGCCTCCTCTCATATTTGCAAGAAGTCTGATTGCAGACGCCAATGCTGCCCTCGTCCGCAAAGACTGTGCTTGATATAATCCGTCCCTACCATTAAGAAGTGCCGTAAGAGCCATGAACGCTGTTGAGGACTCCATAAACTTGCGGCAACAAGCTCCTGAAAAAGAGGCATTGTACGTGCCTCACAGGATGAGCTAAATCGACGGTAAGCAACCGAAATTCCTGAAATGAGCAGCCGGTTGCACATTGATGGGATGAAGTTACCTAATGGATCTGTCCAATGCCTCTGGCAGTCAGGGCACGAATCAGTCCCCCAGTTGTTGGTGAACCGTTCGTAGTTGGGATATTCTCCAGCGTCGGCGAACCCGAGCCAGTGGATATGTTTCTTGAAGTCTGCATCGGTGAAAAAATTGAACAGCTGGCCTGCGGATCCCACGTACAAGGGATGTTGTGAACGTAGAATTGCCAAATTTTACCTGCTACGCCCCTATCTTCCTCTTTACCTGGCAAGTGAGAACCCATAACGGATACTACGAATGCGACAGGCATGTTATTTCGTAGAGGTGCCTAAGATCACTGCGGGTGCTGTCACGTTGGAATTCCTATTGCAAACCGTATGACATTTTGCACATATTGCCATTCGAATATATATTCAACGATAGGGCAGCCTGTTTGCCATTTGACAATATGCACTTGTCTGTGTGGGTGTAATGCGCAAAATAATGCATATGTGGCTGCTTAGAGTTAAGAAATGTTCTGTGGAATTTAACGCACTCATAAGGAAGTACGGTTATTGTTTGCCTGTGGCGATCGCGCACAAGTGCCAGACACTTGATTGCCTTAAGTTTTGGAGGGTGGCTAAATTCTGACAATCTGTTCTTTTATTTGGTTCCGTAGTGCTAGAATCCTCTCTCGACCATGAACGTTAACAACACTTCCTACAGCGATATGATGTGTACATATTTTGCAACCCTCGTTTGCATAAACCTTGTAGCAAGTATTCTTTAAATAATTTAGTTGCATACTTAAGCATATTATATAATCCCACTGATGGTGTTTACAGAGCGCATTGCTTAGTCTATCTTCAGGAGTACAGGAGCATTAATGGAAGACGCCTGCATGAGTTGCCCACAGTTGCTGCTGGACGACAGGGATGAAGGCTTTGCTCAAGAGGCGATATGTAATTCTTTACACATGTACATATTTTGGATAATTACAGATAAACACTTGGACGTCATTGATGGCCAAAACGAGAAAGGATTTGTCACGAATCTACTTACTGCTCTACGTGGTCACTCGCTATGCATAATCCTCTGTTGGGATGGGTAAAGAGAAAAGCGGACCTTTATCGGTTGCCCCATTTATGGCCCCCAATTGGTATGACAATCATTTAAGTTTACTCGTTCAGCTGCAATTCGCGAACACACCGCATTCTGTGTTTACACTGCATACGCGATTCGTAAGAGTGTAACCGGCAGTTTCCTCGAAGTAAAAGATAAATATGGTGGTCGAGCCAAACGTCGGGATACTATGGCAAGGTAAAATAATGGCCTTGAGTCGTTTGAACACACTTTTAACTTCCCGTTTGACCAAAACGGGCCGTTTTTACTCGACGACGTGTCCGTCGGTTGACACTGTAATTACGATCTTAATACCATTCATAACTATTCATATTCGCAGCTCTCCCCAGGCGTCAAGCCAAAGTACAGATTATCAATTCCAGACTTCCTATGGACATACTGTGTCTCAATCTTCCGCAAAGATTACAACATGGGGTTACTTTTGTTGAAAAACAAAGCAGTGGAACTGAAGTGATTTGTCTTCAAAAGACGTGGTTAAACGATGATGGGGATTTGCAAGTTAACACTCCACCATCCGTCTGTTGCTTTTGAGCAGGTAGAAAATGTTTATTGTGGTGTAAAGATGAGGCAGTTGATATGTTTGTTAGCCAAAACTGGTACTTAGAATGTAAATCCCTGTTTTCATAGACGTTAGCGTTCTTATTCGTAAGCCCCACTTGTGGAATTCTCCCGTAGGCATTAAAGTTGTTTGTATTTGTATTCCTCTCTGCCTATCATTTTGCATTAGTCGCTTTTTCGACTTTATTTCACGAAAACTTACTATAACTTCCTGCGAGTAGCTTATTCCCTTATGCGGCGATTTTAAGCGTGTCAACCTTTGTTTCCTCATGCTTTTAGATTTCAGTGATCTTGTCTCCTTCAGTGCCCGTATTGACGCCCCTCCTGATCATATTTTGACCATGCACTAAAAGCTTTTCGTACTAAAATAGGGCTCCGTCAACAGATTCAGATCATTCTACGTTATTAGTTCTCGCAGAAACATATTCCATCACTCAACTTGCACCGTTAATCGAACCTGGGAGAAAAACTAAGGTACGCGACAGGTTCCCACAAGACATTCGATTGTTTCAGGCCGGTCCTGTCCGCATTCATGTCCTTTCATGGGCGACAGTTTTGTTCTCCTGTAAAGTTAATCCAATGACTTTCTTATTGTAGAGTGGGTTTTTTCATTACTCGCCCGTCCTTTTTCCTGACGGCCTACTAACTCGGAAACTATGAATTGCATATTGTACAGACCCTGCCTACCTCATCTAAAATTCGAATGAAATATTTATGTTTATTTGCATTTAAAGGACACTGATGGGTCTTCAGTAAATTTATTTTATTTATTTATTCATTCGCACATCTATATCTTATGTTATCTACGCTTTCCTTAAGCATCCCAATGTGAAATTTTAATCAAGCCACCTGACAGGGTTTTTCGATAAAGCTTTTGATATTTGCTATCCTCGTGATGCTGTTATGGAGAGAATGGATAGAGTTGCTCATAACTATCTCAAATTAAAAAACGCAGAAAGCTATGCCGACGTGCCAGTCTTAGGGAGGTTGCCGTAACGGCGTAAAAGAAGACTGTCAGACTAAATGATTTGTTTATTCGTCAACTTTTTACCTCTTCTCTTCCCCTTCCTTTTCTTCTTCGTCGGCTGAGATTTGGAGGAGTTGCAATGTCTCACTGGCCGTCGTAGCACACTGGCACATATGGATATTGATTTAGGGACTTCAAACAAAAATGTTGTCTGTACTCACAGTTACTCCTACTTTCCGTCAAACAACATTTCCCTACTATCATGGGTCTTCTCACCTGCGCCCGTGGAGACGGTAGATAAACACCCCAAAAAGGTCCGTGGGCTAATAGCTGCCAAGCCGGACGCACTCCATCATTTATGATAAAATCTTGTAATTCTCAGATGGCCCCTACTTTGGCACAATTTATTAACGTGCACTTCCGGGAGTCCGAAATTCCTAACGTTTGGCATACGGTAAAAAACGCCCCTATTCCTAAAAAATCCCCAGATTTTGGTCCTAAATCCTCTCATCCAATTGCCTTCATTTCCGCACTATCAATGCTTGCTGAACCAGTCGCCTCAGATGTTACAAAGTCATTCTCTTGCAGTCTTTCCGATCTTTAACAACTCTCATAGAGGCCAAACTTAATGCTCTAGATGCCGTTGCTCTTGTGGTTCACTCTGGCCTAAGGGAACATAACAGGAGATGCCTTGCGTACGCATGTGCTTTTCTTGACTACTCCTCCAACTCCCATACATTTCCTCGTCCTTTCCCTCTTGCCGAAACATCCGCGTGCGGTTTCGCAGGCTGGGTTGTGTCTTGACTTGGCGATAACTCTACATCCTGCGCTCAATTTGTCCAGTCTTGGAAGCGAATTTTTTGGTCCTTCCCAATGACTGTGGAGCCCACCAAGGTTTCATCTTACTCGCCTACCTTTTCTGTTTCCATAATATTGTTCTAAGATCTTCAAACGACTGTCTGTTATCTTAGAAAGCAGGCGATGTGGTTGCTAGTCACCCTCTCGAAAATCAGACACATCTCCAGGCTCTGGAGGATGGCTTTGACTGTGTGTCAGTATGGTCTCCTAATGAACGAGAAACAATCAGTTTGGTGTATTTTCTGACTGCGGCCCTCTTCTAGTCCTAAATCCCTTAAAATCTACATGGAAAAGATATCATTTTTAAGTGTCTCAGCGTTTATTTGTCGGCAAATCATTCGTTTTCCCTACATACGAAATCCCTTCTCACTGAAGTTCATAAGCGTCTTTCTTAAATGCGTCATTTAAGATCCTAACGCACACCTCAACCCTTAATCCGAGGATTCATAGAGGCCTGCATTCTTTGTCTTATTCCTTATTGTTCACCTGTTGTTTTTCCGGCGTTGCTCAAAACAGATCTGTTAGTTTTAAAACGAGTCCTCCGGATGCTTTCGTCTGTTTCATTTGTTTCTGCTAGATTTTTAATTCAAAGTGTTTGAATTCTCGACTTCAAATACTTCATACTGTGCATATCCCATTAAACCTGTTTCGTTGCATCTTGATTTTGGGACCTGTTGACAGCTCTTTTTCGCGGGTGGTTTTCATGATAATATGCCTTCTTGCACTTGATTTCAGTTCCTTGGTTATTTAAAGTAAAGGTAAGTACTCACCTTTCAACCTTCTAGTTGACCTGCGCCAATCGTAGTTTTCATGGACGCCATCTGGACGTTCAAACATTGTGTTCGGTGCATATGGTTTGCAAACTCCAAGTAGAAAGGGTTGTCTGCAAAGAATATACGAATATGAACTAAAATATGCAAAATCTGAACTCGTCGTACACAATTTCCAATTTGAGCTTGATCATGTTGATGATGGAGAGTTCACTACCCCGTCAAGGGCACTGGGGCCGTTTTATGCCTCCTTCCTAACTTCTAATGGCCAGTCCGAGAACTCGACATACTTTGGCAGAAGTGCGACGGAAAGATGAGAACAACGTATGTTATTCCATTTTTTCTTACTTAGATACTTTTTGCTAAATAAAACTCGATTTTGACTTATTTGGTGCATAATCAGACGGAAAAATAACATTGGCATTGCCAGGTGTGTGGGTGCAGATTCCCACCCAGAATTCCTAATATTTGAGTATTTACGTTGTTAACTAACGAATTTGCTTAAGAGTGCTTGCCTGTCTATCCTGTTATTGTTTATTATGCTGTTTTTCTCAACTTTTTCATCATGGTCAAAAGCAAACCAAAGTGATTAATTCCAGATTGCCTTCTTAGGGTTTCAAGTCCATGCCCAACTCGCTTTCCTAAAGACTTTAAAGTGCGGGTAGTCTGCTGTATGATGCATGTCCTTGTTTAAATTCCACTGGGATAGTAGTCTGTTCTGAAATACCTTTAGCACACAAGCTAAGCGCTAGAGAGATGTGGAAAACAACTGAAAATCCACTTATGGTACGTCGTGATTGATCAATACTGCCGCCGTCTTGAGTATGCGGCGGTGACCTGTACTTGAGTTAATTTATAGTTATGCCACTTGCGTTTTTCAGCTCGGAACATATTCCGTAGAGAAGACAAGATCAAAATGACAATAGATGGGCGTGTTCCATCTGTTCTGCTCCCTATACTCGAAAACTCTAGCTCCGTCGGCTGTACACTTTGCATACGCGGAAGGTGCTATCCTAACGGTCAGCAATCGCAGCCTGACTCACGGTTTATGGCAGAACTTATTGTATATTTTTGGAAACTGTCACTTTCGGCAAATGTTCTAAGCTAACTTTCGTAGTGGCCAATGAAACATTCTGTCAAATTTTCCGGAAACCCCCCTTCACAGTTATTTGCTGCCTCGGCCATCTGCATTTAGACACTTACGTGGACTTAACTCCAATTCGGAATTCTTTAGACACTCATTAGCGCCTGCTTACAAGCATGGTGGGACACATATGTCACATCATTCTTATTTCTCTCGCTAAAGCCGGAAAATAAATACACGTAGAACTTAGAAACCTGGTTCTAAGTAGCAAATATTCCAACTTTTGACCTTCCATTGTGATTGTGACACTGTATTTTGATCTTTCTAAATAGACGAACACATTTAGACCTCTGGCAACTGGAAATCGCTAAAACTAGTTTGCTGGTTTTTTCGTACATCAGACAGGGGTCAGGGAAGCAGTAAAAACACAATCCCATCAACTTTCTTTCTATTTGGTGTTAATTACACCTTTCGATTTACGCAAGGCAACGTATTTTTATTCTCCTCTTTTGAGGTTGCTTAATAATACACCCGCGACCGCCATCTTTTCTCCATATTCTAAACTCTATTTTCTTAGTTCTGCTTCGAGTGCGGTGCTGCTAATCCTCAGTGGGTCAGCGTCACATACGGAATATTCATATGTCTCGAATGCTCGGGTCAACACCGGGGACTTGGTGTGCACTTAAGGTGAGCAGTTTTCATGAGCAGCCGCTGTGCAGTATTTTTCATGTATAAGATTTTAGGATAATTCCATCTACTGCCATGCTCCTATCTCCTGAAAAGTTTTCGTCCATCAGTTAGTTTAGGTGCGGCCCAGTCGACGTGTCCACAGGTGGCGGATAGTGGCACCGCCTCTGGCAAAGCCCAATTGCTAGATAAGCTGGCTCTCGGGTTGCACAAATAAATATTCACGGCCCCTTTCTCAGTAATTCCTTCGCTTACTGCTAGGCACCAACCCGGCGTCTCGGCTACTTATGAGAACCACAAGTCATAGTGGCAGTAAGACGCAGCGGGCGCCGCTCGAAATTTACTGATGTTTCACAGACCATCCGACGCAATCTTCCTGTGCCGGAAGGACAAATGGAGATGCCCACCTTTGAATTGATGTACCATAAGGAACCATTCCTCCATGGAGCCGCCGCTCGCGCGCACTGTTTGGAGACTTGGGGCAAATGTACTTTCAGTTAAATAGGAGCTATAGTCTGCGCACACTGGTTGGACTTAAGGGGGCAAATAGCACCGAAGTGGAATATGCTGTTCATCAGGAAAATAATAATTCCTTAATGAAGGTTTGAAAGGTGATGGGAATTAAACTATGCCAATACAGTCACCTTTTCTTTTGACCACTTGACCTGTTAGATGACGTGTGCGGTGCTGTAAAGGTAACACAAGTCATCGATCACAAATAGTTGACCGGAAACAAAATGCGCAATTGTCTGGTGCAAACCTTGTGAATGTTTCTTTGTACACTTGATCTCAATGTTGCGAATGAGTGGGGTATATTGCTTCTTTGATCGACATTAATCCCTTGAAAATCTAACCGTGGCGCGAGGACCATAGTCCTCTGATCCGGAAACCCAGTCCAGCAGTGACTCGCAGAACGGACTTGTGTAGTTGATAGACGGAGACTTGGTGAAGAATTGGTTTCCTATAGTGCCTGGTTTCTAATTTTAACGTCTCTATCACCCTTGTCTCTGAAACATCGTTTTTGGGTCTCAGGATTCTGTCTGACAGTGAGTGAGACCTCACCGAATGTCAACCAAAATTCACCGTTTCGTTATGCCACTAGGTTATGCTACCTGTTTATAGACAACCTTCTGCCAAACCGGTGACCAGTCCTACCTGAACTTATTACAACTGCACGGTCGCATTCGATACCCATCTGTGGATCAACCATGTAGCCGACCGCTAAGCATACTTTCTTAGCTGGGTTCCTGTTCTGCCACAGTAAGACCTCCAGGCAATGTTGCATGATACCTAAGCGAATCATTGGTCTACCCTTGACTAGGTGACTGTGATAGGCATTTGCATATAAAGCCGGGGCCGCCGTATAATCTTGAACACCGTTTTCTGTGTATAACTGTGATGTCTACGTCGTGCCCGTAGGTCATATCTGCTGACGGCATATTAGCTAAGTTTAACCAAATTATTGTATTATGCTAACGGACAGACGACCTAGTCCCTTTTAATAAAAGGCATCTTCGCTTTCGCATTTTTTTGAAGTCTCGTGATTTGAGACTATTTTGCGCGATGCATCCCTCTTTTTAAATACTTGTACGCAATGTCTACTACATGCTTATAAGTAACAATGGTTTGCAATCCTGTTAAATTCGTCTTTCGCTTTCCAGCTTCGTCCGCTCGACAACGATGGACAAATGGAAGCCCATTGAGCTTGAGAAGATGAAGGTGGGGGGCAACAGACATGCAAGGACATTCCTTGAATCCCAACCAGACTATCGTTCAAACTGGTCTTTGAGAGAAAAGTATAACAGTCGAGCAGCCGCCCTCCTGCGTGATAAGGTAGATTGTCTAATTATATTTCCCGTTTGTACAAAAAATTTGTTTCCAGGCACATAAGGAACTAATCTCTTCAATGATGACCCATGGACAAACCCGTCAGTAGTTCAATGCGGTCGTAAATTGCATCGAAATATTGCTGTGCTGCCCTAGTATGGTAGAGGAGCTTAATGCTTGGGTGTGCTGGACAAGTCGTAAGATCGAGCCCCAGATTTCAACTCCTTGGGATTGGATATGGCCGACTGATGACGGCTAATAAGTTAGAGACGGCCATTTAAGTCTCCCCTCTCATTGTCGGTTAAACTCTGTATCAAAGGGAAGGCGACAGGGTCCGGGACTGGGGTAGATTTATACAGAACTGTTTCGGACATATTTGCCTTCATTCAGCCAACCATAATCCTGGCCTCGGGAAGCCAGAGGATCGGTGTGCGCCCATTCCCGAGTGAATTAGTACCGATCCGCAGCGAAAGAGAATGGCAGGTGACGAGGCACTAATGAACTTCAGTTCGATGAAGTGCTTATGACCCATCTGGAGGACTCCAGTGGTGGGCCAGTTGCACCAGGTGGGTGAGCGCATGTTTGTGTTTCGGTCCCAGCTGGTGGTTAGGGTTATGATTGGCTGAATGAAGGCAAACAAGCCCGAAACAGTGCTGTATCAATCTACCCCCAGACTCTGTCGTCTCCCCTCTGATATATATATATATATGTGCATATATATGCATATATATGTATATGTCTATGCATAATTTGGAAGTCAGACATCCATGAAATATAATTTGAAGACACACGGCGGCCGCTTCTGGCGCAAACAACAAATGAATATCGATTTTTCAGCCCGCTTGGAACGATAATTGTTTTTTTGTACATTTACCTAAATGTGACGATGACCTGGAAACCAGCATCGAAAATTTACCTAATAAATTTTTTTCTAAAGTGCGTCCTTGCCTTAATATGTGTGCTTATACATACGTACATGGCAGAGGGGAGACGACTGAGTCTGGTGGCTGGATGGATACAGAACTGTTTCGGGCTTGTTTGCCTTCACTTAGCCAACCATAACCCTGACCACCAGCTGAGGCGGGAAACACAAGCACGCGCAAACATATGTATGTGTTTGTCCGTAACAGTCAACGAGAATCTCCACCATCCAAGCTAACACACAGAACGGGAGTTTTCGTGTTTTAAATGGCTGATAAGTCACGCCCGGTCTGCACGTGCTTCAAAAGCCGGGTCAGCAAAAATCCTCCGGTGTACAAGCATATTTTTTCCTCATTTCCTTTGGCCTCGTATTTTCTATCGGAATTTCTAAACTTGCCACTAAACAGACAGCTCATTGATTGCACGCAGATCATTAACTTCTCCTAACCTGCAAGGTTGAACTCGGCATGCCCATAGAACCCCGCATTTCAAAGGCCAGTCATAAAGAATCGGACTGCTGTCTCACACGTGTCGCATTTTTTCGACCGCTTTTACCGTTTTTCTAAAACCTTATTACTCCGCCTTATCCATCCTGTTCTGTGTGCCTCAGATCGCCACCGAAGCAGAAGGTCGTCTGTGGGACGAAAAAACCTCCCCGGCCAGAAACTACCAGCCGCAAGTGCCCCGCTCTGCCACCACTGGTAATCTGCAGACCATGGGGCAGCCCATTTCCAGCCAGTCCTACGGCCCGAAGGGCATGCCGAACTGTCAGTCTGATCTGGAGGCCTGGCTTAATGAGCCGACCCAAAAGGCTGCAACAGAGCAGTTCTTTGCCCGACAGATGAATGAAAATCTTTCCAGACCTCTGTAAGTTAGAATACCTTCATGTACATACGTGGCATTGGGGCTTCAGAGGAGGCCTAGGCACTGATAATTTGTCAAAAGTTGTGTACCAGGGGTTCGCTGCCGAGTACGATAGTACTGCACTTCTAATTTGTTTCGTAGTTTGTAGCCACCAAAACGTGGAATGGCACCTGAACCCAGCTGTGTATCCGAAGACTCTGTGGGGAAGACGACTGCTCGAGCATAGGAAAAATTTGCCTGTTTGTCTTAGCTTCCAAATACGTGCAGAAATCCATCGTTAGAGATAGCAGCGGCAGTAGTAGCAGCAGCAGGACAGGTGAGTGATAGGTGGTAGTAGCCAGTCAGCAACCAATACCGCAGGACTCTGTGTGCCAGTGCTGTTCCGATGCTTGACCTATCTTCTTTTCTCATACATACACTGGGAACTCGAATGTTCGCGTCAATTCTTAAAGCCACATATGGCCCTTCTCTGAATTCCCGGTTTTGGGTATTGAAGCGAGCCATCTTATTTAGACACATATTTAGATGCAAGAGGGTTTATCGTTCTTACAATAGGTGTGCCAACTTACGAAATGTCATGAGTTAGCACATGAAAATCCTTATAACGCAAAATCCTCCCAACCTGCGTTCCCCAAAGTCTAACGGCGGCGAAAAACGACTGTTCTTAAAAAAGAAGGCTCGGTTGGGTTTGCAAATTAATATTTATAACGCAAAAAATACTTTTCATTGAGAAGAAAAATTTTAAAAAATGACTATGTTACAGATCGCCTAAACAGGACTTACTATGAGGGTGTATAATAAAGGGGACCGCATGAAATGGTGAAAATGGTCAAAAATGTTAGCAAATACAAAAGATCAGTAATTTGTTGATCGTCCGTTTGCATTAATCACAGAAGAAAGTCTTTCAGACACGGAGATGGCCAGGTTGCCTGTAGTGGATTTTTCAGTGGAATTGTCGAGCGCAGAGTCAAGCTTTTCTTGCATTAGTAGTTTCTTATTCGACTTATGCCAATGTCTTTTGATAAGTACGAAAAACGTTTCGATGTGATTGAGATCGGAGTTGTTGGCGGGGATGAAAATCGACTAGAGGCCACATGCGGAAAGGCTGGCTGTTGTCTAGAAAGTCAGACTACGGTTGAAACCGTTATTAGATTCATAAATCTTTAGAACGATGGACAGGAGCATGTCATGTAAGATTATGGTATCCAGTCGCCGTCGGTGGATGTCATTGTAGTCGAAAATGTCCTTCACAATATTGACGAACACCTTGCCGTTGATGGTCTCCGTAGTCCACTGTCGTACTAGTCGCTCTCCGAATTTAACAGCCATCAAACCATGAGCCGTCGACAGTTCTTGAAAGTTGCCATCGGCGCAGTCTGCCCTTTTGGAAGTTTCTTCCTCATACGACCATCTGGATCGACTTCATTGGCTTGTCTAAGAATAACACCTCATCGCAGAAGTAAATGCACCTCCAGAATGAGGGCCGGTAATCAATATATTTCTTAGCAAATAAGAAGTTATCTAATAAGTTTTCTGCTTAAAAACGGCTTAATCATGGCCTTTTGTTGATTAATTTGAAATTTCCACATCATTCTCCTGATTGTGTTCAGAAAGAAAATCGGTAGATGTTCCCTGTGAATGGTCTTAATGGGCATTTAGTGATACCTTTTTGGTGTACAACGAACACAATCGTCGTCTTGCATACTTGTAGACCGTTTTGGTCCACCCTGCTTCTTTCGGGATACTGTTCTAATACTAATGGTAAAAATAGATGCTAACGGCTCAAGCAGCGACCCTTCCGCTGCTAATTTCCGTATCCTTTCGTAGTCAACTGCTGAAAGACATTGTCTGGACATCTTTATAGCACGGCGTGACACAGAAAAGCGGCAGCATGTCGCGCGTACTCAATATATATCTGTTTACGCCTATTAGTTCTCGGTGTGGTAAAAAAAAACTATGGTCGGACAAGTTTACTACTGTTTCATGGCACGAAATGCCATAAATTTACAAAAAAAGAATTTTTAAGTTGATTTTGGCCCTTTTTCTTGACAACAATGAAAGTTCTCAAACCAACCCTCACCCAATTTTCATGGAAGCAAAATCGAATTCCCCGTTTCTAGACGGGATATTTATCGTAATTTTCCTGTTCATAGTAATCTTCGTTTACAGCTTAATGCATATAAACATAGAATTTCAGTCTGCAAATTTTCCTAGCGTAGAAAATTATTCGGATATCAAAAAAGGTCAGATTTAGCCCAAATTTGACCTGTTTTCCTTTAATAAAACTGACCTGAAGTGAACCTCTCTTCAATAAAAAGCATTTGGTGTCTCAAATCATTTTAATAAACAAATAAGTACACCAAATGCATGTCAAACTTCTCACTCAAATTTCCACCACGATATTTCATAAGTTAGACCACTTACTGTAATGTTAAATTAATCTAAGATTTGGTATTCAAGTGTACTAATCGGAAGGTCTTTCAAATTTACTGCCTACGGGGTCAAAGAGAAGGTCGATTGTGGTGTTTTCACACTTCTATGTCTGGTACTGCAGTCGCACACCTAGGTTGTAAGGGCATCAATTTTTACCATATCAGAAGTACGAAGGACTCCAAGAAGCATTGCAAGCCACTTTTTTAGTGTCAGAATTCGGATAGGTCACATTTGTGACCCCCACCCCAACAGGCCGCACTGCTGTTGCGCCAAGCCGAAACGGCAGCCACACGCCGTTTGGTAGACGGTATACGTTGTGTTTATATGAGTTCATAACTGCTGCCATGTATGCGTTTAGCAAACATCAGACTGTAGTTAACGTCGCTCAATTCACTCCGCCAAACTTCATTAGTCGGCGGACAAGTCCTCATAGGTTACTCCTACATGGGCGTGGGAGGGGGATGAGGCCAATCTCGGGGGCATTGTTCCTCTTGCCAATCCAGCACATTCCTCACCATGATAAATATTATGTGCTTCATTCATTATTCACCTCCGCTATTACCGTCCCTTGAAGCTGTAGCCCTTCTTGGGCATGGCTGTGAGCGTTGCTGTTATTGTCTCTTCTGACCAACTCCCTGTCATCCCAGTGCACTTTCAGTCACCTGCTCGCCTCCCGTTAAACGTCTCTTACATGGCTTTAACCATCTTTGCAATAGTCCAGTTTTACTGAAGACCGCACTACACAAAGTCATGATTTGTATTAAGTCAGTTTGATACACCTGAGTCACCCTAAGGCCCTCTGAAAGGGTGAGTTTTGTAAAAGGACGTTTTCTTTTGGAATGTTTAGTAACCTCGAGGCGGCGACTTGCCTGTTTTGGAAGTGTTTTTGCTACCCGAGCCTTTTGTGGCTTTTTCGCTTCCAGCATAACCGATTGGATGCACGTTTAGGGGGATGCCTAGCTTACCATGAGGGTGCTACGGGCTATGTGACAGGCCTTTTTCGAATCGAAGAGAGCAACTCGGTGCGTAACCCAGGTTGATATCATCTTTTGCCCAGTAGAATGTCGTTTTTTCTCTAACGGTCCACTACCGACAAGATCAAATCGCGCTGGGAATGGGGAAGAGCATCTTTTCAAACACCCAACCCCATTCTAAAGGTCGTCACTACCACCGCCCATTTATAAGTTGAGTCGGTCTTGGCGCACACCTCTTCGTAAGCCATGAAATTGGCAGATGCAGTCACAAAAGAAATGCAGGAGAACACCGCCAGAGTCGATCCAGTCCCTCGTATCTTTCTGGGATTTCAGCGCACGTCCCAGACCCGGACCGCTCTGGTTGTTCATCTACCTCCCCCAATAATTCACCCTACTTTGCTGTTGCGCCTATGCCTTTAGTCTAGGGAACAATGACAGAGGCGTCCGATCTGTGTTTTTGCAGGCTACTCTAAAGCACCACCAACGTCGATTAGCTGTCTGTGCTCATGGACATGTGCCACCTACTCAACACACCCACTTATTCCAACTGATTGCAGCCGTGATGCCATGCAGAGTAAGATCAGCGATGATGCTAATCCTATCCTCGCCACTGTCGACATGCATTTAGGACTGTGATAGTAATGGCGTCGAACATTACTCCCCCCCACCCGCCTGGCCTTGAACTGCAGCGGAGGCTTATTTTTGTAGGGGGTTTAGGGGGGGGGGAGGGGAGAGTGATGGTCACCAGTTGTCAATTTTCATGCTGAGGCCGTGCCGTTTGTCAGCGTCACCCTGCAGTAATGTGGTGCGCTGTACCAACACTGTCTGTTGATCGAGGCTTGTTTACCCGTTCTGTAAACCTTTCATAGCAATAAACACACGCCTTTTGAGTTGATCGCCCCCTTAAAGTGCTTTCCTCCCCCACCAGTGTTATATATCGCAGTGAAGGAGAGAAAGTTAAGAGTAGATTTTGGGAACTGGCCGTAAGGCGCCAAATCGGACTCGTGATCCCTCTGGATCCGGCTATACTGGCAACTATAATGCTTGCGATCGCGTCTTAAACTCGAGCCCTCTTGTTTAAGGTAAGTTTTTTCAACGTGGCGCACTGTTGGTTACCTTGGAGCCTAATGCCCATAGTGTAGTAAACATTCAGAAGAGATTGACCACTCTGCCTGAGAAACAGAAAAAAAATTGCAGACGCAAACATGGTCGGGGAATTTCTAGTGTATTAACAGAATTTTGATTTTGTGAGGTTGCTGTCGTCCTCACTGGTCTCTAGGTTTCCTTGAAATGTCAGTAAACACTTTGTTCATTTTCAATGTCTTTCCCAATCAGCCACAAATGGCGATTTCTATCTTGTTATGACAAAAGTTTGACACTGCTTGAGGACTTCCATGCATTCAGTATATTCTTGGAAGTTATTTTGACCGAAGATGACGTTTTACGCCTGAACTGACACAAAAATGGGACTTCATCGCCAAGGAAAATGCATGTAATTTCCCGTCGAGGCTCTAGGATGATTCCCTCCATGGTCAGATAAAAATCATTATCTGAAAAGATGGCGCTTTCAAAGGTGCTCTGCTGTGGTATTTAACCAATG